CTAAATTTGAAAGTGACAGGATGTGACAGCACTAAGCTGTCAACGCACACCGTATGTAGGACAAAAGTCTTACATCACACTGCTTAACACCGATCCAGCTATTTCTGTGCTGCTGAGGCCAATTTGGAATCTACTTAATATCTTAAAACAGTGTTAAATTATTCACTGCAACACGATCATATCCATATCTTAGTGTAGCCGATTGAAATTATGAATGAAGACATGAATAATTTGATATGCTATTGAGCAAATTTGGCAAATTTCGAGTCTGTTGTTGGAGAAATTCAGCGTAACAGTGTGGTGTGTTCAACAGAAGTCAGTCATATCAATTAGATGCAAATGACTCCAAATCGGATGAGTATTTCCTCTCATGAACAATCAAAAACAAAAGACCATACTGACAACAGAAGCAGAAACTGGATGCAGCAGAAGTGAATCCACCTGCGATCAAGTTTAGTTTTATTTATACGGCACCGATTCACGTAAACATTACAAAATTATAGAGAGAAACCCAACAAATCCAGAGCCGTGATCACCGAAATTAAACACCTGTGATTCCCAATTAACCTGCTTGCTGGTTATGAAACAACCAGCTGGTGGTTTTGGATCTATAGACCCGCGTTTGTGCATCGATGCTCCACAGCGATGGAAAAAGGATTCAGGAAGCGACTAAAAGTCAGCAGAGCAGCAGCAATCTGGAGGCACGTATTTAAAATTTCATCAAATGCTGAACTATTCCTGTAAAGTTCTGGATTTTAGTTCGATTATTGCTTCCGTTTCCATTCCAATATAATATTTTACGTCTGATATGGATCCAGCTCTACATGCTCAGTGTAAAGGATCAAGTTTTTATATTATTATTATCATCATGTGCTTGTTAGTGGAGCCATTTGTCAGCTTTACAAAGTCAACGGCAGCAGAAAGCCCTCGTTAGTCTACGCCTGGAAACAGGTGCTTTGTGCTTAGCTAGTGCTCAGAGTAATTGGCTTCACTGCAGTGGAAGCTCGATAAACATAAAAGACACCAACGCGAAAGGTGAGTTTAACTAAAGCCCATTTTCATGCCATTTGCAGCGAGGGCAGGCAGGAGCAAAAAAAAAAGCCAGAACATCCAGTCTCTCATGGATGGACTGTCTGTACGGCCGCACATCCTCACGTTAATGTCTGCATCAGTATTCGACTTTCATCTGAAGCCGTGCCAACTGCAGATTGAAGTTCCGCAGCCAAGCCTGTTTGATCACAGTTTGCTCCTCTGCACGCCAGATTAACACAAGAAAAGTGGCCGATTCCACACACCAGGCCCTCTTTATTCACGCACACCAGCAGATAAGGTGCAAATACAGTCTGTGCATGTTTATGTGTGAATGTACCGGCCCCATTGAACTCAGCGCTGCTTTAAACGGTCAAAAACATCCGCATTTATTGAACTTTGTTGAACAATGTTGTTGGTGTTTGGATGCTTAAAGGTTTAAATATGACACAAAAAAGGGTGAAACATTAGTTCAGTGGCTGTTATGGGGTAAAATGTACATTCAGTATAATCACCACAAGTAGAAAGTAGTGTTCAAGACAGTGGAATAATTGAGCAGCATCCAGTCCACAGGAATACCTAAGGCTAGCTAAAAATATGTTAGCTAGCATTATGAGCTAGCTTTCCAGAAGCTGAATTCACAGGACTCTGTTAAAGCACTTTGCCAGTGTTTAAACTTGAGCAGGCAAAACACCACACTGCCTTAACAGCTGCTTATCGATAGAGCTTACATTTACTGATGTTCCCTAAACGCCTCACAGGCTAAATAATCTGTTAACACACCAGGGTGAGCTGCAGGCTCGTCAGAGGCTAAGTCGACGTAGCAGCTAACAGGTAGCTGTGTGAACGTCGTCAATGTTAGAGTGATAAAGGCTAAAGTAAACTTAGGGCAGATGCTGCGATATACAGAGGGTGACTATGTATGTATATTTTTGTTGCTGTACGAGTTCAGAGTAGTCTATAAAAACAATTTAGCGAATTAGCATGCTAGGACGCTAATCCCGATTCCGGCGTTAGCATGCTAGGGCGTTAGCATGATAGGACGCCAATCCCAATTTAGCGCGTTAGCATGCTAAGGCGCCAATCTCAATTAGCGCGTTAGCATGCTAGGCCGCCAATCCCAATTAGCGCGTTAGCATGCTAGCGACATTAGCCTAGCTAGAGTGTGTGTTTGGTGTCGTTATTTAAGGCCTTATACTAAATGAGATTGTAAATTGGGCAGCAACTAATGATTATTTTCATTGTCAATTAATCTGTTGATTATTATCTCAATAATTTATGTATTGTTTGGATTGTAAAAAGTCAGAAGTGGTGAAAAATATCAATTAGCATTTCCCAAAGCTCACAGTTGTGTGACCATCAGATATTTAATTTACTGTAATAATGGACGAACAAAACCAGTAAAGAAACAAAAACAGTGGTTTATCTATTGTAAATAATAATAATTTGACAGTGCATACTATTAATTTTTATATCTGATAACTTCTCCAATAAACTGCAGCTCAGTATGTGAGTGTTTGTTTGATGAAGGTAACTGAGTTGTCTTGTATTCTGCAGACAGAGGAGACAAACGTGTCCCTGGACCCCTGAGGAGATGTTTCCCACCCGCTGGCTGCTTCATGGTGAACTGTGTGTGTGGACCGACACAGTATGCAGCCTGAATCCACTGCTCCTCATCTGCTCCTCATCTGCTCCCCATCGTTCCTTCTGACCAGATACCATCCATGGACTGGTGAGTACAGCGACCATCGCCTGAGTGTTGATCAGCTTGTTGAAGCAGCCGCTGTCTCCCCGGTCAGGTCCAGACCTGCATGACTTTATTTTTTAGGTTTAAACACTTTTAAAGCATATTTCCTGTGTTGCAAGATAGTGAAGGTTTTTTTTTTTCACTTAATTTAAGAGGTTATTCTTGGAGAAATTTAATGAAAAACCAGTTAGTACAAACATATAAAAGGTGGACGTAGCGTCCAGGTCTGAAAAGTGAAGACAGTGTCTTTCGGATGCGTTTCTTTCTACCAGATGTTTCCAGATGAAACTTGTCCAGATTCTCCTCTGCTGCCTCAGAGCCGGGCACAGCAGTGTCGTTAATGTTCATCCTCCACCTGTAATCTCTGTGTTGTTCCTTCAGTCAGTTTATGTTTCAGCCTTTGATCAGAGGTTGTTGTGGTCTGGTTCCATAAAGAGTTTTTGCAGAACCTCAAACGTGTGCTTCAATTTTGAGGGGTTGCTCAAGTCCAGTGAGTCTGAATAAAATAAAGTGCATCAGGTGCATTACGTGGGTCGTGACCTTCACTCCCATAAGTCCTACATCTGTGTGCGCTCTGCACCGTCCTTCCTTTGCCACCAGTCCTTGAAGTTTTCTGACACACCTCGTATGTCTGAGCTTCTGCCAGCACATCGGTATGGTAATTCTGTGTTCTCTGGTCTTTGTGTGTTGACTTTAACCCTCCTGAGACTCAGACGATGCGACTGACCTTGTCGACGCCCTTTGTTTGTGTTGTTATTGTGAGCTCCAGCATGTGGGCCATAACGCTGAGTTAAGAGCTTTTGTTCTAGTGATGGAAGGAATTCCTTGAGGCTCACGGCTCAGTGGATCGTACTTGTAAACAAGACGCTGATCTGAGCTTTTAAAACGCGATGATGTCTTTTCAGAGCTTTGTCACTGGAAGCTTTCGTGGGACAGTCGATGTACGGTGTGTGTTGTCTGTGTGTAAAGCTGAGCTAAGTGAGATCTGTGTGGGAGGTGTTTAGAAATGATCTGTTTCCTCCCTCAGTGGCTAAACTGAAGCTGTGTTGAGGTTTCTGTTCAGGAAGCTGGTATGAAAAACCTTTCACGAGGTCGGATTTTTGCTCGAGGTCTGTGTCGTGTTCAATTTACAATATAAAATTAATAATTAAACTCTGTTTTCTGAAACTATTTTAAAATGGTTTTGGTAGTTTTGTATTTCGGGAATGTTGGATATGGAAATGGTTTTTTATCAGCTGATGTCTGAGCTGTTCTTCTCACATCCACCTGCTTTTAATGTTTACATCCATTCATAGCATTTATCTTACATTCCTTTGACATGAGCTTCTTTTATTTTTGGGATTTAAAAATTTTGATTATTTTTGGTATTAGTCAGTGTTGGACCAATATGAGTTACTTCATGGCTTAAGGCAAGAACTAGCGAGTAGGAAGGTCTGATACATATTGCTGTTAGAATTTGTTTTTATGGATCCTATAAAATAACAAATGATTCACAAAGTGTCTGACCTGAAGCTTGTTCTGCATCGTGTTTGTGTAGCTCGGCACTTTGTCTGCAGTCTGCTTATTTCAGAGCTAAGGATGTCTCATCTAAACAAATGTCGGCAACTTTCTAGAAACAACTTCTGAAGTATTAGCGCATTTGCCAGCACTGTCTCCTGCTACTGGTCCGGTCTATACATGTTCACATCAGTCGTTGTGTCTCTTTCTGTCGCCTGCTCATCTCAAACTCTAAATCTCTCAGAGTAGCTGCACATTTCAAATCGTAGCATGCGTTTGCTCCACTCTAGTGCCTGCTTATGTGAACCCAACACTTCCCGGGTTATTTAAAGTCCGCTGGCTTCTGTCTCTCCTTCTCCGTCCTGCTCAACATGTTGAGTTTTTGCAGCAGCAGCGTTCACATTTGTAATAAATGAAGTGTTTTGGCAGCATCAGAGGCAGGGTTTAAAACATGACCTGCAGGTCCCAGTAGCCAGTAAAGACCAACCCAACGAAGCCTCTGTTAGCCGTTCGTCTGCTGGTCAGTCAGGCTGCGAGCTGGTTGTCTGCTCAGGCTGATTTTTTCCAGAATGACATTGATATGAGCTGATTCATTCACCGGTGTTGTCACAGACTAACAGAACTAATTAAATGTTAGCTTTGTGATGTTGGTCTTCCAGTTTCACTGCAGCAAAGAGAAAAGTGTGAACAGGAACAACACGGCACTGGACTCTGAAGTCATTTTCAGTTTTTTATTGAATCATCAGTTGTGGACACGACAGCGTGAGCACACATACAACACAACACTGAACAAACGGTTGTCTAAAGCATTTCCAACACAGATACACATATTCCAAGTGTTCCATAATATTTACCTCCCTTCAGCTACATCAGTTTTTCTTTAAAAAGCATTTTGCCCTTGTCCTGTGCCAGCTTCTCATTGGCTGGCTGTGAGGTTTCGCCAGATGTTCGTCTCGTCTTTGTGCTGCCTTCTCAGTAGGTACAGAAACATCATCGTAGTAAGGCTTTAGTTTAACACACTGAACCTCCAGGTTAGTAGCTGGATGGCAGGATGTCTGCTTTGGATCTGGGGGGTTCTGAATAACCAAGCTGGGCTCCTCCAAATGAAATCCCCTCCATGTTTATGAATTAATTCTGGCACATTGTCTTGTACACATTTTGTACCGTTCTTTATGTAAAATTCAGACATCTAGTTGTGATGATTTGCACCAACTATAACTTCAATTCTACCTTCATATCACGTATAATATGGAGGGAACAGAGGGCAGTGTTCAGACAGCAGCCTCGTCTAACCTGATCCTGTCAGACGAATGTCCGTTTACTATCATTTTGGCAGTCGGCTTTTGATTTAATGTTCAAATACACAAGAAACAGAAATTTTTGGTTGTGGACATTTTTTTTTTTTACACTTATTCTGTAAAACAAACTATCAAGTGGAAAAAAAAAGAATAAATAAATAAATCAGAGATGAAAATAGTTGTATTAACAGTAGTACTGGTAAAATAAAACCAACAGCTGGTTGACTGTTAGAATAACTCTAATCAGAGAGAGACCGAAAGAGAAAAAGACGTCCAGAATAAATGAAGATGAAACCAAAGTAAACACAGCAGGAGCTGGAATCGATAGTGATTGATTTTACGATGATGAGTCCTCATTGTTCAGCAGTAGGTCTTTGTCAAAACGTGGATCTCTTTGGCACACTCAGAACATAGAGACAGTATTTACATGTACACAGGATTCATGTTTCCAGCTCAGTTTTTCACTAAAATGTCCCAGCGAGTGAACAAACCGTCATGACAAACGAAGCCACACAAAGAGCACAGGCACTTGATGTTCTCGTCAGGATGCAACAAAGCAGATGCTGCCAATTAAACAGAAGTAGAAGAATGTCACCAAACTGAAAGAGCGTTTTTCTTTTTTCTTTTTTTTTCTTTCCTCCGCCTCACATTCTGCAACCATGCACACAGAATTTGAACGAGACCTTTTAAGACGGCCTGTAAACGAGGGCATGGATATTACTCAGCACATGACTCACAGCATATTAAGATGAAGAGTGACAAACAGAAGATTGAAAAAAAACAGATGGCGCACACAGGAACCGCAGCCCCGCAGCCGCCGATGCCGCCACCTGGCGCCGCTTCGGGCTCAACAGTTGCCGGTGGTGCTGACGGTGGTGTAGCTGAACTTGGACATGGAGGTGGCCATCGACGTGGCCATGGAGGTGGCGGCGATTCCGTCTTCTCCCCCCTCCCTCCTCCTGAACCAGCAGCAGTGGCGGCAGAGGCGGTTGCGGCAGCAACAGGCGAAGGTGGACAGCAGGGCCTTGCGGAAACGTGTGTTCATGAAGCAGTAAATGATGGGGTTGACGCAGGCCGAGGTGTAGGACAGCAGGTGGATGAAGGAGATGGGCGCTCCTGAGAGGGCCTTAGAGGCAGACTTGAGGTCAAAGGCCTTCCAGGTGTTGACTGAGTACAGGGGCATCCAGCAGATGAAGAAGAGGGCTACGATCACCATCAGCATGCGGATGACTCGCCTCTTGGCTTGAAGCTTGGCCTCCGAAGTGTTGCTACGGGCGCGCTCGGTCTTGGCCTGGGCGGCGCTGGACGAGGCAGATAGGGTGGGGAGCTCCACGGCGGCGGTGGGCTTTTTGGACACCTGAATGTAGCACCCGTCATCATCGTCGTTGGACCCCACCAAAGGCTTGCCTACACCGTTCTTCTGGCCTGTGGACGGTCAGGGAAAGGTGTTGAGCAGTTTAAAGTACAAGAGATGATAACAAATAAACTACAATGACAGCCAGTCTGTCCCCAACGTCAGATACAGGAAGCTGGATTGTCTCTGTGAGAATGAGCTTTATCATGTATAACGTAGGGATTTTTACAAACTTAAAAAGTAGACGTCCAAGAATGGAGCCTTGTGGAACTCCTGCAACAATCTGAGTTTCAAAACATTTAAAAGTAAAGCCCGACTGATTTATCTGTCAGCTGATATAAACATTTACAAACAGAAAACAATGTAGAAGTAGTGTCGTCATATCGTCTGTCCAGCAGAGTGGCTTTTACAAAACATTGTCTGCAGCACATGTAGCAGAGTACGCATCACAGCTGAGCAGATGGCAGATGGTGGTTCGGAGTCAAGCGGTGTATTTAGAGTAAATTATTCCCTAGTTCATGGAATCCATTGTTGGAAAGTTAATCAACAACGAGCCCATTATTCTCCTTTTTTGGTGTAACATGCTGTAAGTGCAGTATACGAAGAATATTGACCAATATATCAGCATCAGAATGTGTTACTCCCTGAAAATCTCCGTAAAAATCCGGGGGATCTGCTTAAAAGCAGGAAAAAAAAGGATCAGAGCCATTTATTGAAATGGTTTGTGCCACGCAAACATAGCTCGTCGCTGCCCTTAGCAAAGTGCAGGATGCCAAGGCTAGCTTTGCCCACCATGTTGTACGTTTCCCCGGCGAATAGAAACTCTTGTTTAAAATGTCATGATCGCCTGTAGCAAAGGAATAATTAATATTGTGGGTGTTAAAGTCGACTATCTGACTGTTCTCCTTATGTAAGGCTGCATCCACGCGTTTCAAAAGTGAAAACAGTCTCCATCCAGACCAGCGTTAGCTCAGATTCAGAAATGATCAGCGGCGCTTGTGTAGCTCTAAAGATACTATGGAAGAAGAACAACAATGGCAAACATAAGAGCAAAATGTTTTCGAAATAAGGAAAGCAACACCTGTAGTTTGCATGTTAAATTACCTCATGACAGGAGTTTAATAAGTCAGGGAGGCATGTGGGGATTGTGAGGACCAATCAGAACATGAACATGGGTTTCTACAAGTCTCTGTTTCTGCCTGTTCAGACCTAAACACAACTCTGGACTTTTTAAAACTGAAACTAGGATAGGAGCATTTCCATAGTCTGTAATTTAGAGATCCTAAATGCTGTATTAGTGTGGATATTAATCACAGAAGAATGAAAGAGTCTTCATGTGAATGTGCTTTAAATGGAGGAATAGAGTGTCTATTTCCACCATTTTCTAGTATTTTGCTCCGGAACAGAGTGTTCAAGTGAAACTGGAGGAAGTTCATTATTTTGCGGCTTGTGAAGGGAACCAAACACTATGTTTAGCAGTAGATTACAGTCACTACTGAAGGCTATTTCAGATAGTTTCAACCTTGATGAATCACGCACAAGACCGGACGCCATGGAAACTAGTGCTGCTGGCACTCACACAGAGCGGCGGCAGCTATAATTCACCTGAAGTGAGCATATTTCCACTAGAACTGATGTATTTTTCCTTTTTCTATGGGGAAATATCAGATGTAAGGCCAGCGAGAAATCTCATAGAAGTAGACATTAGGACGACTGAGAAGGAGGATATTTTGGGATGTAACAGGTGCAGAAACTGTAGGTAGTGACAAAATATGTCATCCTCTGCTCGAGGCAAAACAAACAAATCTTTTGTTTGTATGCTGTCTTATATTAGGATGATTTTTTCTGTCTATTAGAAAGTCCACAATGTTCCACATACGAGCAGTTTCATATTTATTAAATTCTGCTGTTTCCAGACTTTCTAAAGGTATTTACTGAGGAAAGTAAACCAGATATTTCCATCTCCGTTACAAGTTAAATCAATGTGCACAAGAGCCTTTTTGGCAGGTTTGGATTGACTTTGTGATGGATCTCACCAGTGGTTTCTCGGCTCTGGCTCAGCTCGAACTGAATGCCCCGGTAGAGTTCTCTGGAGATCAGACCATAGGCTATAATCATCACCACTCCGGGGACGAAGAACAGAGTGAAGAGCAGCAGCACGTACCTGAAAAAACAGCCAGAATGGAAAAGGAGAGGTGTGAAAAAAAAATCACAAACACAGAGGAAGGAAACACTTCTGAATCTGAACTGAATCGACCCCAAAAACTATAGAAAACCAGCTGAAGATCTCGCTAACGAACTTAACAGATCTCTGGAGCTGAGCTGGAGGCCGTGCAGATGGTTGACCGCTCCCCACAGCCCTCTTTACCCCCCGTGCTATCTGCCAAAAGGCACTGCAGCGTCCTGGACCAGTTCTGCAGCGTCTCCCTGCCGGCCATCAGCCTCCTCAGCACCATGCAGTTTAACCCGTCTCTGCGCTCCCTCCACGGACTGTTTATTCACCACTCGGGGTGTTTCTGCTGATGCAATGTTTGCATATATCTGCATCCTTTATATGTTGCTGCAGCTTTAGGAGGAGACGTCTATAAAGCAGAATGATAGCGAGCCGTTCTCTTGTTGATGTCAGTGAGAACCAGACAACGTTTTCATATACTGGTATCTGCTTCTGTAATGAAACTCAGGGGAGCTGTTTTAATGTGGAACGAGCAGCGTGAGAATTCAGGCCGTGACGGTTGTTTACACATTGGTTTGTTTGACGCCAAACGGCTTCAGTTTCATTCCTACTGCTGCTTAAGGATGGCAGGGAGGTCGAGTTATGTCCTCTTGTCATTTAGTACAAGTTGGAGGTTCTGAAGTGTGAAGAATACTGAAGTAGTGCAGAAAAATGAGTCGTGATCAAATGTAATTTCAGTCCAAGTCAGTAATTATAGAGGAGTATAATTTACACAGATAATTACTAACATTAAAGATAGAAAACCCTCCCAAATAATTACATTTACACATAAATAGAGATAAATAAGGGACTAAGGAATGATCTCATCTTAATACACATTAGGTAAAATGTGGAGGTGCACAGGAGGCTGCTGCAACATGATGTGATGAAGGTCCTGAGTCGTTGGCCTCACCACGGTGTCATCATGATGTCCAGTTTGTTTCCTGACTGCATGACCCAAATTTACAGCTAAAATGTTCTTTTTGGGAGGCTGCTTAGGGTTTGATCGTGCAACCTGACGTTTAATTTTTGCTCTGCACCTTTATAGCAGTTTGCATTGAAGGCATTTAAGTGAAACTACAGTTTTCTTCTTTTTATTGATGAAGTGTATTTGACTCTTGGACAGTAATTTCTCCACTGAGGTGCACTTTCAAATATCACTGATTCAGTATTTAATATTACTCTTGTCTGCATTCAGTAGCGTACAGTTTGCTTTTAGCCTCCATAAGGCCTGCTTTACATTTAGTAAAGCAAGTAGAAACAGCTTTGTATTTAAAATAAATAAATAAATAAACATCATGCACACCCGCAGCGACGCTGCAAAACGCCACTGAAATAAAAGAGCTTTCTGGAAGTCAAAGCCGCTCTGCTGACATCACATGAATAACAGAAACTGCAGGCTTTTCACTTTTCGCTCACTCACAACTCTGTGAAGCAGCATGCTAACGGATTATTTGTGCATTTTGGGCAGCTGCGTGTGGACGAGCCCTGATCTGTAGCCTGTAGAAAGATCAGCTGCAAACTTCCTAAATAAATGCATCACCAGGGATTTTTTTTTTCAAATTCTACTGTTACATTTGTGCCTCCTGTGTGTTATTTTTAAAATCAGTTTTTAAATTAATTTTGTGACTAAATCCATTTCTTGAACTGTCAGATAACATTACAGGCAGATACGTACTGACTATGAGGAACTTAGAATATTACTTTCTATTTTCAACATGAGAACACATCACAGAAAGCACCAACCACCTCATGGGAGCACTGGGTCAGAAAACTCTCGTATGTCTGAAAGTGTCCTGAACAACGACCAAGACGTTTTCAGCTGACTTAAAGATTAGACTTTTATCTTTTCAATGAAATGACTGTAATCTGAAGAACATACATAAAAGGATTCAATTCTATAACTTAACAAAATTCACTGCACTTAAAGTTTCTGTCCGCTTGGTGATTCGTCTCCTGAAAGCTCATCTGTTAAAATGGATTAGATGTTCTCTGTTGCTTCCTTTAGGATGTGCAGATCTATGAGGTCCCTGACTTTCTTTCCACCCACAAAAAAACTATACAACACAATGACAGGTCGTAATATTGGAGGAATTTATCCATACGTGTTCGAACCAGAAATCAATTCTGAAGAAAAATAATGATACAGAAAGCAGCACCCTGCAAGTTGAGGATTGATTTGTTGGGTTTGTTACATATAAGACCCAAGAAGTCTGTATATGTGTTTCTGAGACTGTCCTCGCTAAATTACAGGTTCAGGGTGGATATACGCAGAAGGTTTTTTTCGCATTTAAAAACTACAGAACCTTGGATGGTGACATGGAGAAAGGGGAAAAAAAACAGAGAGGTGAAAAAATGGATGGATGTTTTGTTTTGTGAAAACTGCCTGCTTGGATGTCTTTATATTTTTGACCGATTTCAAAATAAAACTCGAAAACACCCTCGTACGGGTGGGTGTCCTCCATTGTCGTTTCTCCATACTGCCAAAAAGACCCAGAAGTACCTATATTCTTCTTCTTCGTCTTCTATTGATTTGGCGGTTGGCATCCAACGTTCAGGTGCATTACCGCTACCTGCCGGGCTGGAGTTACCTATAGTTTGTGAGATCTTGCAAAAGTTATTGCAAGATCCCAAGAACGTTTTGCGAGATCCCAAGAAAGGTTTGCGAGATCCCGAGAACGTTTTGCGAGATTTCGAGAAAGTTTTGCGAGATTCCGAGAAAGTTTTGCGAGATTCCGAGAAAGTTTTGCGAGATCACGAGAAAGTTGTGCGCGATCCCGAGAAAGTTTTGTGAGATCTTGCAAAAGTTATTGCGAGATCACGAAAGCTTTGCGCGATCCTGAGAAAGTTTTTCGAAATCCCTAGAAAGGTTTGCGAGATCTCGAAAAAGTTTTGCGAGATCCCGGGAAAGGTTTGCGAGATCCCGAGAAAGGTTTGCGAGATCTTGCAAAAGATACCTCTATTTTTTTCGGCGCTCCCTGTTTTTTTTCTTTCTCCATTTCCCATCCGGGGTTCTGTAAAAAACACCATATAGACATGTTGATCGGTAAAAAAACAAAACCAGCATATTCACTAAAGGGAGTCTTCAAAAGCTTAATATGCTGTAAAAAATCATCCATTTTCTTCCTGACATGAGGCTTCTCTAGTTTACAGAGTGAGGTGAACCAGTTGGACCAGCTGAACCAGTTAGAAGAAGGTAGTAGTCATCCTGTTTCACCCAGAAAACGTTTTCAACACGACCTTATCAAACCAAGCTGCTGAATTGTTGACACAGTTCCATGTGCATATTGACACGTGTGATACCAGGAGGTCCTCAGACTGAAGGAGCTCCCAGTTAAACATGCTCTAATCCCACTACCGGAGTCATTTTCTACATCTTCAGACTGGGTTGTTTCCTGATCGCAAATGTTCCTGTTTTTTTTTTTTTTCTCCCTTCTTTCACACAGAGTAACAATCACAGCTCCCTCGAGTGCCTGGATTTATGACACATCAAAGGAAAAGTCACGAACTGAGTCTAGTGCAGAAAGAGCCGAACAAAACGTTAACAGAGGAATTTTTGAGCAGCGTATAGAATTCAAAGGGCCTCAGAAGCTCTCTCACGATCTGTATCAGACTGCAGATACCCCTCTGCATGTGTTCAGTGCTGTGTAGCTGCATTTGAACATGAACGTGTATCGACTCTATCGCTGAATCAAATAAATATAGCCGGTATGAAGAGGAGGAGGAGGATGGGCGCAATTAACAAAAACTACAAAGCAGCGCGTGGATCAGCTGAAGAAACTCCACAGATGCCACTTTGATCATTCTAAATCTTGCCAATCAGATGTCCCTTTTGATTGGTTGTACTCAGAGGTAACCGCGGCACACATTCAGCACATAAAAGCGACGGTGGACAGGAAGAGGCCACGTTTCATTCATCCTCTGATATTCAAATGTCTTCCTGGGCAACTCTCTGAACTCCCCTTTCTCACTTATCATTTAAAAAATAAAAAAGGTTCAGTCAAGCCTCTCATCTGCTGGCTGTTTGATACTGTGGAAAATCTGTTAGACAAAAGCTGTGAGGAAACGAACATGTGGGAGTGTGGAAACCGCATTAAAAAAATGTAGTAGTGGATATCTGTGTTTGTTTTGCCTCAAGGGGCAAACCCAGATGGATGGAGCCGAAGCAGAGGGACACATGGGAAACAAAACCACGCTGAATATTCATGGCTGCCTGTTTTGACTGTTCCCACCTCAGCTGAAAAACTACGTGATTATCAGCCAGCAGACATGGATCGGGCTTACATTAATCATCAAAGAAAGTGATGCTACACGTTTCCGTTGCGTTGTTTTTACAGCTGTTACATAAGCCTTTGTAATGCAGAAATCCTGGTCAGGAAGTGGTCATTTTTATCCTTTAGTGGCTTTACATTTAGGTGGTGCTACATATTTCACAAGGCGTTCTTTGTGTTTGTAACCGACATGCCGAAAGTTTTGCTGAGGGTTTGGCTCGTGCAATCAGGTTGCCTTTCTACTTTTATTCTAATGACAATCCTCACCTCCCTGCATGCAGTTGTTTCACTTAAATAGCACTTTTCTACCTTGGCGGTGCTCAAACTGCTTTACAGTGTTTCCCATTCGGGTTCAGTGTCTCGCCCAAGCACACTTCAGTATATGGAGGGGCCGGGAATCGAACCACCAACCTTGGGTGGCTCTATTACCCAAACCACGGCCACCACATCCAGTTCTTAGCCACAACCACGGTGATCGCGATTGGTTTAACGAAATATGGCCGATAGCCGAATGATAATGAGGTGTAGCTAGAGGTCTGTGAAGATTCTCAGTCATCCAGGTCGTGGTTGTTCTCAGAGTTTAATCGTAGCAACTGCTTTTGTTCCTTGAAGACGTTCCACCTCTCATCCAAGAGGCTTCATCAGTTCTGACTGACTAGTTGGGAGTTCCAGATACTGATA